GACATGCTTTTTTCTATGTCCATGTCTCCTAGGCTTGTTTAGGTTGGGCTAGAAGTTTGATATTGCATTTTACTTTTTCATTTTGTTATTTTCCTGTATCTTCTGGATCCCTAGTGGCATTTAAATGCTCTAAAAATGGGTGCTAAACACTGGATGGACCTTCAGCATTCCCCAAATAGCTCATAGAAGCTCCCTAGCTGCTTGAGGTCACTGAGCAGAGCCCTAACTTCTGAGTGGTATATTGAGGCTGAATGGTATATGGAGTATACTGTGCACACTTTCAACTCATGACACATGGTACACCAAACCTCCCCAGCTCCGTGGGATCTCTGAGTTTGGTTCTACCAGGTAACAAGCAAAGATCTGCCACTGCACAGTTAACCAAGGATCACTGTGGCAGGCTTCAGCTCACACATGGCAGCTCCTGGATACCTGTAGGTAATGGGGCAGGGCCCAATCACGCACACACACACACACACACACACACACACTGAGGCTGGAGATTGCCATGAGTTTGAGGTCAGTCTGTGCTACATAGTGAGTTTAAATCCAGCCTGAACTACATCATGACAGCTTTTTTTAAAAATAAAAATAATGCCTTATTCAAGCAAAGATGGTGGATAGATAACAGCTGGCTACTGAGGCTCCCTGAGATAATCAACTTAGAATTCAACATAATACAGCATGGGGAGTTCCAAACAGAGGGAGATAAATTCTGTCTTCCCAAGAAGAAACTAAGGTGAGAACCAATCAAACATATAGTCCCAGTGCTATTACTGGAACAGCTAAAGCTTCAGTGCTCCCACCACAGCAGGCAACTTGGCAAGCTATCCCAGGTCCTGCCACCTCGACTCATTGGAGGCACAGTCACACTGAGGTCAGGAGTTATCCAGCTGAACGGACAGCTGAGCTGGAGGGGGAGCCTGCATCAACCAGTGGTGAGTGATGGGAGTGGAACTATTCCACAGAAAGGGAGGCTCTGGTAGATGGCATTCTGGAACCAGGCAGTACTGGTAAGTACAAATGGCAGTAGTGACTTCAGTCAGTTGTTCCCTTCCTGAATGGGATTAGTGAAGTATGCTTGGCCTGGGTCATGTGAACTGGCTGAGACCTAATAGGTTATCTGAAATCAGTTTCCTATGACAGCGGTGCACACTGATGCAGTGAAGGCCTCAGAAGTTTGACTGTCCCAGAGGGAAGGTGGTGCACAGTAATTAACTGAAGGTCTCACCAGCTTGACTGATCTGGAGGGGATGGGCCAGCATATCCTCCCCCTGTTTGCAACTCACTAGCACACTGCAGTGGGAAGGATCATCTAGCCAGTGTGCTTCAGAAGAATTGTAACAAAAAAAGAAACTGGGGCCTCCTGGAATAAACAAAAAAGATAGGATGAGGAAGCAACAAGAAAAAGTCCCCAACCCTGAGAACACTGACCCAGGACAGGTAAATACAAAGGAGAATGAGAACAGCAAACATGCAATATCAGACACAGCACCAGTGGACATAAAGAGATATCTTCAGGACCTCATAGATGAGTTCAAAAGGGAAATATTTAGCCAAGTAAAGCAAGATATAAGAAGACTAACAAAAAAGATGCTATGCACCCCTCAAGAAGACACAGATGGAAGAAGGGAGGAACTATAACAAAGGAGAGAACCATGTGATGAGGAATATAAAGAAAATATAGAATACATGAAGCAGATTCAAAGAGATTACCAGGAAACTAAAAATGCTATGGAAACATGACAAATCTGCTTGAAAGAAACTAAGGATAGATTCTCCAAACTGGAGGACAGTTTTCCAATGTGGGATTATGAAAGGAAAAAATTTCATAAAAATAACAAGGAAACAAACAGTAACAATACAAAGGCTAGAAGACAACAAGAGGATCTATAACTTGAGAATAAAGAATGTGAATGAAGAATCAGGTGTACAAGTGGGAGTAATAAAACCATAATGTGTAATTGTCATTGTACAAAAGAGAGGAAAAGAAAGTGCTCTAAAGGACATAACTGCATGTATATTTAAGTGTATAAGATAGGTAACCATATTACTGAGTTTTATTGGATCATTGAACAGAACTGTTTGCAGTCTCACTGTTTGAATGTCCACTTTATATGCTTTAATTTTGTAACTTGAACAACTATTTCTAAGATGACAATATGTAATCTATTAACTAGTGATTTCCTGTTTATTTTTTTTCTGAAATTCTGTATAACTTGTACCCTTTTTCTGTTTTTTCTTTTTTCCGTTTAAATAAAATTTTAAAAAAGAATCAGATGTACAAACAAAGGAACTACAAAGGCTATTCACAGAAATAATTAAGGAAAACTTACAAACATAGAAAAAGGAAATGATATTCAGATTGTATGAGGGATACAGAACTCCAGCCACCTACAACCAAAGCAGAACTACACCTAGGCATATAATAATCAAGATCCAAGAAATTCAATACAAGAACAGAATATTAAAAGCTGTTAAGAGACAAGAAACAGATAACCTATAAATGAAGGCCCATCAGAATAACGGCAGACTTCTCAGCACAAACCATCAGGTCAAGAAGAGCCTGGAGCAAAATATTCCAAGCCCTAAAAGAAAATAACCTCTAGCCCAGATTGATATACCCTGCTAAACTGTCTCTAGAAATTAATGGAGAAACAAGATGCTTCTAAGACAAAGAGGAACTTGGGAAATTTTCAACCACCAATCCAACTCTGCAGAGAGTCATGCAGGGCATTCTAGACAGAGAGAAAAGTACTAGGATTCCAGGAACAGTGGCAGAGGGGCCTCAATGAATGGAGCAAAAAACAGAATGAAGAAGATAACAGACAACTGGTGGGAAAAAATTAGCATGACAAAAATGAGACAGAGAAAGTTAGTTATATTCTCTAATATAGATGGCTTTGATACACTAAATTAAAAAAGAAAAAAAAAAAGAACCACACGTGGAATGGAGCAGGAGGTAGGGTCCACCGAGATGCTATTTATAGAAAATATAATTAACATGAAAAAAGAGTACATGGACTGAAAACCAAATATGAGAAAAACAATGCTCTATGTGACAGAGAACCAGGAGTAATAGGGGCAACTAGACCAGTATTTGTGGATAGGTTGGAAAGACAGGCTTTAATAGGTAAAGGAATACAATTAGAGATCAAGTTCAGGAGAGAAAAGGTTTGGAACCACTTAGGTAAATAACAGGTTGCCCCCCCCCAATTTAAAGCCAAGGGTCTTTGTGAGACCCAAAAATACACAGTGTACCCTGAGGAAGTGAAAGAGAAGGGAGAGTCTTAAAAAAGATGGCAGAAGATATTGTTAATAGTGTATCACGATTTAAAACCCACATAATTCACACCATTCTACTTTGATAGATTTTATTCTGTCCCAGTTTGTCTACTTGCATTAGATTTGAGGGCACAGACAAGTATCCCAAAACATCAGGATATAGCACAGTAATCATTTTTAATGTCCTATTAACTTAATCTGGACCCCTGAATGACTTATACTGTTTTATCATAACTGATCTTAGTTAAATGAGGTTTATTTGATTGCTGTTTGGTATTAGCAGATTTTATTCAAAACTAATTTGATTGATAGTATCAAATCTGAGAGTATAGGCAACTACACTAAAGATGACAAACCTCACTATGATACACATTCTGGTTTAATTACTGCCTGTTTTTGAAGTTTTATGCTATATACAAAGTTATGGTTTTATTCATACTCTTATGTATTTGTCTATTCAATTATACTATGTCTGATGATATAGTCAATTCTATTGAAGATAACAAGAGACAGCACAGGAACTATGGTAGAATTCCTTGTACAATGATCTTATCTGTCTTTTTCATCTCATGTGTTTATAGGAATATGTTGTGTTTTACCTTGCTTTTCTTTATTTCTCCCTCTAATATAGAAAGGATAGAAATACATGTTAAGACTCATCCATGTGTAGAGCCTATAAAGAGTTTATGAGAACTGATCTTATGATACATGATGAAATGAACAAATACTTTGAAGAAAAAGAGACACTAAAGTACCTAGTGCTGATCCTGGAATGCCATAATGTGAAATCCAGCAATATTATTATTCTTTGTTTAGAGTTGTATTAGCCTGCTTGGGTTTGTTCAGTCTCAACATAATTGAAGATATGGACAGCTGCATGTATGTTTAAGTGTATAGGATTGATAATCATATTTCTAAGTTTTTGTTGGGTAGTTGAACAGAACTGGTTGCAGTGTCACTGTTTGAATCCCCACTTTATATGCTCCATTTTAGTATCTTGAATAACTATTTGTAAGAGGACAATTTGTAATCATCAACTAGTGATTTCTTACTGTTTATTTTTTTCTTTGAAAGTATGTATTATTTCTACCCATTTTCTGTTTTGTTTAGTCTTTCTTTAAATAAAATTTAAAAAAAAGAAAAAAATAGGAGAGTAACAATAGTTAATATATTATTATCTTTACTCAGAGTACAAGATATAGGCATTTAATTGTCCAAACAGTATTAGTACAAACCTTTTTTCTCAATTAACTAAGAGAGATTAGTAGTATAATTACCTTAACTATCAGTACACACACACACACACACACACACACACACAATTTTCCCCTTCCTTTTCTCTTTTCCCTCACCCTAGTTTTTCTTTCTTTTTGAACAGTTTCTTCCCATTTTAGAGTATCAATTACAAATTTTAGATCTTATCTACTTTCAGTTTCTCACACTTGGGAGATAATATGATGTTTATGAAGGTGTATCTGGTTTATCTCACTTATGTGTATAGTCTTGAGTTATATCGATTTACTCATAAAAATTTCAATTTTATTCCTTTTTATACCTGAGCAGCAATCCATTGTATAAAAAAAGACTGTATCTTTTTCATCCATTCCCTGGTTGATGGACATTTGAGTTTTTTCCAAGATCTAGCTATTACAAATTGTGCTACTATAAACATCGGGGCACATATATCACTGTGGTGTCATGTTTTTTTTTTTCAGTTCTGGGAAGAAGCGGAATAGCTGGGTCAAACAGGACCTCCAATTCTAGTTTTCTGAGAAATCTCCCCACTGACTGCACCAGTTTACACTCCCGCCAACAGTGGAGATGGATCCCTTTTTCCCCATAGCCCCTTGTTATGGGTTGAGAACTGGTGGTCAACTTAATGCCAGCTGGATTACATCAGCATGCATTGAGCGGAGATGCGCCACCTGAGAAGGGTTGCCAGGATAAATAGGTGGAGAAGAAGGGTGGTGTTGAGGGTTGAGGCACTAAGGAGGCATTGTGTGTTCTCTGAAGAGTTGCTGTTTGAGCCATTGGTTCTCCTGGGGAAGCTTTGGTCCTCACATCGAGCATTGCTTCCTGGCTCCGGAGGGGAAGACACGTGCTGCTTGGTCTCCAGGATGAACTCGTCACACTGCTTCCTGGCACGTACCCAACTGTGCTTGTTGTCAGAGGAGCTCAGGGCCTCCGTGTCACTGAGGACAGCTGTGATGCCTTTCAGGATAGCCCTGGTCTTTGTGAGTGTGACTCCTCAGCTCCAGCGTAGAACCCTCATCCCACTATCACAGCTCCTTAATCCTGCTGGCATAGACTTTCTGGCTTTCCCCGCTGACCCTTGGATCTTCCTGGCATGGATCCATAAAACAGACTGGTGTGAGTCCTTCTTGTGGGCTCTGGACTTCCAGTTGGACTCATGGGAGGCATTGTCCTGAGCTCTGGGTTTTTATCTGGACTCATGTGGGACATTGCGGTGGGGTTTAAGGCTCTTGACTAAATAATCTATGTCTTTGCTGTTGCGGATAGATTTCCTGCATTTTCCTGTGTTAACTTCCCGTGACCATTATAAAAATATTATAAACTCCATGTCCTGATCTGAATTGTTCGCTGTGTACAACCCCTGACTACAACACCCCTCTAGTATTTGTTACTGGCTGATTTCTTGGTTATAGCCATTCTTTCTGGGGTGAGAGGAGAATCTTAGTATTGTTTTAATTTGTATCGCTTGAATGACCAGTGATGTTTAACATTTTCTCATATATTTATTTGCTGTTCATATTTTTTATCTGAGAAGTATACATTCATTTCAGATGCCCATTTTTTGTACTGGGTCTTTAAATCTGGGAGAGACTAAAGATTCTAAGGAGGGAAAAAACCCCTTGAATTGTTTAATATTGACTATAAAATTAGGTATGGGCTAGTCACATATAGCCTTTTATGTAGTGAGCTACATTTTTTACACTTAATTTCCAGCACAAAATGTATCCTGAAGAAAATGTAAAATGCTATCAAATGCTTTTTTCTGTAACTATTAAGATTTATTAGTTTATTTTTCACTTTGTGGATATGATGTGACACATTTATCACACTTTGAACCATGCTTGTATGTTCAGAATGAATCCTACTCTATAATGGCAAATCATCCATTTAGTGTGTGCCATTAAATCTGAATTGCTAGTATTTTTCTACCCATGTTCATCAGGAATATTGGCCTATTTTTAGTTTCCTCACCTGAATTTACTATCAAGATAATGTAAAACATATAAAAGTGGAAGTACTTATTCCACTTCATTTTTTTAATGATTTAGTGAAAAGTTAGCAATAGCTTATCTTTAAATGTTTTCTACAATTCAGCAAGAAAAGCACCAAACCTTATTCTGTTTAGAAGAAATTCAGTGATTCAATCTTATTAATGTATTCAAGTCTTCTATTCCTTTATGGTTTAGTACATTATATTTCTAAGAAGTTATCCATTTCTTCTGAGCTGTATAATTTCTTATGATCCATTGTACCTTGGTGGCATCAGTGCAATGTCCCTTTTTAAAAATGTGGTTCTGAGGAGTTGAAGTGAGAACTTCAAGCATGCAAAACCATGTGCTCTAACAGTGACATATATCCTTACACCATTCTTTCAGTTTTGATGTTGAGATTTTTAGTGCCAAAGTTGGGATACACAGAGATTTATCAATTTTATCTTTACAAAGAACCATTTTGTGTCTAATTTTTTAGCATTTTACCTTTTTATTTGGTGTATGTTTAGAGTACATAATCTTTACATTCATCTTAAGAAGTTACATGTACTTAAAATATCTTGATTATTTGTATTGCCTTTCACCTTCCGACTTACCTCCCTTGCTCTTTGGCTAAATCTCCTTTCCCTATTTTATTACACTTGTAGTTCACTTTTGCAACATATAAAGATTGCATTCATTGGGCATAGTTAGTATATACACAATGACACATCTTAAATCTTTTTATGTTTCCATCTCCTACCCTCTCCCTTCATCCTTAGTCTCTTGGTCTCCTTCCCATTTGCAAAAGATCTCCCAGTTTCATTTTATTAATCTTTTATTTTGTTCTGAATATGTACTTTGGATTATGCAAATGAGAAAGCATGTTATTTAAGTTTGTATTTTTCATTTATTCTTCAAGCTTTCTAATAGTTTTCTATGATCTATTTGTTTCCAATATAAACTTTGTGTTTTTTGTAATTATACTTATTTTAGTTTGATTTGTGATAACGCTTTTACTTGGAATCATTTTTTGTGTATTCCTTTAATGTTACACATTTTCCTACTAGAGCACAGTGCTAATTAATACACTATGTTTCCAATCTTGATTTATTAATTTACATATACATTTCTTCTTATCCACTGATTAATCAGTGACATTTAATTTCCATATGTTTTTGAATTTTCCAAACTTCCTCTTGTTATTTCCAATTTCCAGTCATTGTGATTAAAGTGCTTAACATGATTTCAATATTTTAAAATTCATTTTTTATGACACAACATATAATGTATTCTTGAAAAAGTTCCATATACACTTGAGAAAAGTGTTGCTTCACTGGCTGTGGGATGGAAGGCTATGTAACCATCAAACTCACTTGGTCTAATGTATAGCTAAAACCAGCATTTCCTTATGGATATTCAGTATGGCTATTCTGGCTATTGATTAAAGTGAGGTATTGAAATTCCTTGCCACTTTTGTATACAGTCTTTCCTGTCAAATCTCTTACATATTAGGTACTAAAGGGTTCGATGCACATATATTTACCTGTGTGGTAACTCTCTTGATGAACTGTTCCTTTTATTATTGTGCAATGGTTACCTGTATCTTTACATGATTTTCTAACTCAAATCATATTTTACCTGATAAATGTACCTGTGTTCTCTTTTGGTTTCATTTGCATATAATATCTATTTACATCAGTTTACTTTAACTCTATGTATGTCACAAAAAATTTAGTGTTATAAATCATCATATAAATATCTTCTTTTCATCTATTCATTCACTCAGTGCCTTCTGCTTGGGAAATTCAATCTGTTTGCATTCAAAGTAATTATGGACAATTTGTTTCTATGATTGCACTAATTGATTTTTTTTTTGTGTCTTTTTCATTTTTATCGGTACCGGGGATCGAACTCACGACCGCCTGCTAGCAAGGCAGGTACTTATGCCGCTGAGCTAAATCCCCAGCCCCGCACTAATTGATTTTGGATTGAGTTGTGTGTACTTCATGTTTTCCTGTCTTGCTTTGTGACTTGATTTTCTTTTCTATTTTTTTTTTCTTTGCTGGTAATGGAGATCAAATTCAGGACTCCGTGCTTGCAAGGCAGGTGCTTATGCCACTGACCTAAATCCCTAGCAGTGTGACTTGATTTTCTATAGCCATATGCTTTGAATTCTGTCTTTTTTTTTCTGTAATCTACTAAGGGTATAGGTTTTCTGGTTACCACAACTGTTATAAAAATCACTAGTCCACAGATTAGGTGTTATACTTTACATCTAGATTTTCTCTCAAAGTCTCATGTGGTCATAAATGGAGCTTTCCAGGGGTGGCTGGATGTAAGAAGTGTAATGCTTAGATTACAGACAAGACACAGGGATTAAAGGTGCAATGCTGCAATTAAAGGTAACCCACTCTGACTGTAAGTATTACCCACCAAAAGGGCAAGGAGCCTAGATGGAATGTAAGGGACAGAAAAACGGTGGCTGCTGCTTCCTCCTTGCTACTCAACTGCTTTGCTGCCTTCTCCTTGCCATGAATTGTTTTTCCTGTTTAATGCCCCTCTGCCATGCTATTCTGCCTTGGAGCCAGTCAATTATGGACTGAAACCTCTATAAACTGTGAGGCTACAATAAATCCTTTTGAGTGTTGAGTATTGTGTCTCAGCAACATGAAGAGTATCTAAGACACATTTCATACCAGGAGTGAGACTCTTGCTATAATTTCACCTGACCATGCAGTTTAGGACCCTTTGGAATTGGCTCGTGGGAAGAGTCTGGCAAGGTCTGGAGATCCTGGCTGAAGAAGTAGCCTTGGAGTACTTTAAGCTCTACTTCATTGGAGATTCTGGTCAGAGTTCAGAAAATCAAAATGCTGATAGAAGGGTCAGTAATTTTGCTCAATGGTGTTGCGTCTGCCTGGCATGCATGAGGTCCTGAGTTTGAGTCTCACTAACTCACTACCCAAAGAAAGAATTCTGATAGAAATGTAACAGATAAAGACCAGGCTCAGAAGGTTTCTCCTAGAAACAACTACTGTGTTAGCTCCTAGTCTCCAGACCATGTATTATTCTTTAGCGGAAAATTCACCTGAATTTACTCATGTTCAAAGACTTTGCCTGAAACTGAGATTAAGCCTAATTAATTTGGCAGAAGAAATTTCAAGGTAGTCTAATTTGAGGTAGTGGCATGGCTAATGGCAGAGGCTTTTAGCCAGACCTATGTTGAGAATCAACAGCAAATAGCCCATCAGAATGATTTAGAACATGCTTTGAATTTGGCCAGAAAGGAATCTCCTGTAAAGTTTCAGAATTTGGTTGCAAAAAAGGAACAGGACAATATAAAAGTGGGCCTGAGGACATCATTAAAACCAGCATGATTCCATACTTTGCAGCCTGAAGATTGCAAAGGTAAAAGACTTTGTTTGAGAAAAAAGCTCCAGAGTACTAAGTTTCAGAATGGCTGCTGCCTACAGAATTTGTTCCTCTGGACAGAGTTGACAGTGCTCAGCAATTCAGGCTGATAAGATTTTGGTGCTACAGAGACAAAGAAATAAGAAAACAGGCTTTTTTTGCAGGTATGAGAAAGCTGCAGAAGAGATGCAAGCACCTTGAGGTAAGAACAAAGAAATGGAAGTACTTTTATCATGTCTGGCTGGGGGAAGAGTTTGGGAGGTAGGCAAAATGACATCAATAGCTGACTTGAAAGAGGATCTCTGTGCACAAAACAGGAAACAGAAAGATTTACTGGAGGTTGAGGGTGGGACCTTTGGGTGTTTGTGGAGTCTTGGGATTGGATAGGGCTCAGTGCAGACACAAAAAGGGAGTGGGAGGTTTATTTCTGGAACTAGAAGAACATAGGAGTTACTCTTGGAGAGATAAGTTGCTTCTCCCAGTACCAAGTTGGGCAGATGTCATGTTGAAGACAGCTAAGCCCCAGGCTTTCAGAATCTATCATAGGCATTCCACTGCTACAGCCAAGAGAGAAGCAAATCTGGATATCACTCCAGCTGGCAGCACAACCTGGCATAATCTGTGGAGTTCTTATTTCAGTGCATGTAGAATGCAAGCATTCTGGGGTCAGAAAGGCTTCTGCCAGATTTCAACTATAGGAAGCCAAGTAGAGTGCTCCTCTCAGTGTGAAGCTGTGAGTTTGAAGCTGAAAAGTGCAGTGGAGACCCTAAAAGGTTGGAAAAGCCAGGAATGCAGATTGTCTCAGAAAAGCTGCATACAGAGAGCAAAGCTGGCTCAAAAGAAATTGAGGGAGCTAAAACTACCTGCAGTCCCATAGATGCAGACCCACCCAAGCCCTTTGGAGTTCACGTCCTATCACAGACTGCACCAGACACTGGACATGGAACTATGGGACTTAATGTTTGCCCTGCTGAATTTGGGGCTTACTTTAGTTCTACTTTCCCCCCCACTATTTGTACCTTCTGGAATGGAAATGTTTATCCTGTGCCACAGTATATTGGAAGACTTTAATTTTTTTTTCATTTGTACAGGGGCTCTCAGATAAGAGTTTGTGTTAAATATCAGAGGAGATTCTGTTATCTGATATCAGATTGGACTGAACTTCTGGACAGATTGGACTGGACTTGAACTTTTTAGCAATGCTAAATCTGTTAGGAATGTGAGAACTCTCAGAGGTAGACTCAATGCCTTTTTCATAAAGGGATGTTTGTGCAACTTTTGGGGAATGGGGCAGAATGTTATGGCTCATTATATAGATGTTCTCCAAATCCTCATTAGTTGTAGATGGAGCTTTTTAGATGTGACTGGATTTAGGGTGTGTGATTCTGGGATTATAAAGGTGATTCTGGGATTAAATGTGTAATGCTGGGATTAAGAGTGACTCACTCAGCCGGGCGTGGTGGCTCATACCTATAATCCCAGCACTTGGGAGGCTGAGGCAGGAGGATCATTGTGAGTTCCAGACTAGCCTGGGCTACAAAGTGGGCTCAAGGCCATCCTGAACTACATAGCAAGACCCTGTCTCGAAAAGACAAAAAAAAAGTGATTCACTCTGGGTGTAAGTGCTACCCATCTAAAGGGCAAATAGTCTAAATAGAATTTAAGGGTCATATAAAAAAGGCTGTTGCTACATGTTATTACTTTACTGCCTTTCTGCCTGCCTTGACCTGTTTCTTTTCTATGCTATCATGCCTCCCTGCCTTGGAGGCCACCAACTGTAGACTGAAATTTCTATAAACTGTGAGATACAAGAAACTTCTCTTTTAATTTTAGGCATCAGCTATTAGGTCTCAGTAAAGAGAAAAGTAACTAAGATTATTGTACCCCTATATATAGTAAGTATCTGTTCATGATTTCAAGGTTTTGTGCTTTTTCTTTTGCTTTCTACACTTTATGATACACCCAAGAGAGGTCTTTTTATTTTTACAATACTTGTCATTTAACATTTTGCATCTGTAAATTTTTCTATTTTACTGAGTTGGGGGAATATTTTTTTTGCTTATTTATTTATTTTTAACTGATGACCTCATACTTGCCAGGCAGGGGCTGTGCTGCTGAGCTATATCTCTGCTGGAAATATTTTATATATTCAGCTTCCATTACTAAAAAAGTTTTTGGCCTATTTTCTTTCTCATCTCCATTTGAAATTCCAATTATGCATAATTACAACTGATATAAGCCAGTAAGTCCCCAACACTTGGTTCTGTCTGTTCCAATCTTTTTCTACTTTGTTCTCCACCTAAAGATTATTAGAGTTACTCTATTTTGACATTCCTTTAACTTTTTTCTTTATCCACTGAGCTTTTCACTTCAAAAACTGTACTGTTCATTAATTTACAATTGTTTTATTTTCCTGGCTTGGATTTCTGTATTGAGAATAACTTTTTCTGCTACTATTGATTTGTACACTGAAAATATGTCATTTTATTGTACTGAAAATAGTTAAAAGTATTCACCTGAAAATTTTTGTATTTGGTTCACATTACAGACAAAATTAAATTTTTTTTTCCTCTGGAGCAAATATCAGTCAGTATGCTGTTTTTTTTTTTTTTTTTTTTTTTTTTTATAAGTCAAGAATGTACTTTGCAATGAACCTTGTAAGGGTAACAACTATGGGGTTTTATTCTATCAACCTAATAGAAAAATAACAGCTAAAGAGCAAACATGAAAACTAAAAATAGGATTCCACAAACAAGGAGCAGAAGAAACAGATAAAACAAAATAAAATGCAAAACTCCAAAAAAAGTTCATCAGAAACTACATTAATTGTTGTCAGAGTAGGCAATATAATTCAGTTAGAGCTTACAAAAATTGATCAAAAAAGTAAAAATTAAATGATTTTCCAATTCTAAGAAATGATTTTAAAATATAAAGAAAGTGGTAGGTTGAAAGTAAACACACAAAAAAGTATAAGACTGAAATGGCTATATTAATAACAAGATAAATTTCAAAATAAAACAGTACCAGAATGCAGGAACTCTTACTAATGACAATAATAAAAACTGATTCAATAAAACCAACAATTAAAAAATGTAGATGCATTGAAAATCAATTATCAGGGTAGAGACACAGCTTAGTCAGAAAGCATGTGTAAGAAACCATTGGTTTAATTCCGAGCAGCACAAAAACCAACCAAACAAATGAACAACAACAACAAAACCCATGTATCAAACTTCATAACATAAACATGGGCAAAATTAAAAGCAAAAATAGTTCACTCATAATCAATCACAACTGGTTATTTTAAACTCATCACTCATCAATTGATAAACTTTAGAGGATGCTGGGAAACCAAGCAAGCAGCTCCCCTCCCTGGTAAGTGGCTGTGGTGTGGCCAGCTGCACCCCTTCCAGGGGGAGAACCACCAGCGACTCCTGAGATCCATGCCATGTTGGAACTTAGGGTTCTGGGAAACCAAGCAAGCAGCTCCCCTCCCTGGTGAGCAGCTGTGTTGTGGCTGGCTGCAGCACTTCCAGGGGGAGAACTGCCAGTGTCTCCTGAGATCTGCACCATGTTGGAACTTAGGACACTGGGAAACCAAGCAACCAGCTTGCCTCTCTGATAAGCAATAGTGCATGGCCTAGAGTCAAACATCCCACTGGTGCATGGCCTAGAGTCAAACATCCCACTTCCCTTACCCTTCTTCCCCTGTCTCCCCATTAGCAAATGGGAACCAGAAATCTGAGCATCTCTTGGGAGTTTGACCATAGCAAATAAGGGGGATTTCCTTCTACCATCTCTTTGAAGGCAAATATTTTTATTACTGTTTTGCTTTATTCTGATTAATGGTATTATTCTAGTCAATATTCTGTTTTGATAAGTTTTATAATGTTCTGTATTTCATTTTATTTTGATATACGTGATTGAAAGAACAACTATTGTAAAGATAATGAAATATACTGTGATATCTATTACTGTTATCCAAGTAACCTGCTGTGAAGTTGTATGCCAATTTCACTACCTGGTCTCAGTTGGCTTTGAAAAAGAGCATTGATAAACTTTAAAAAATGTCAGAAAGACATAATGATCTGACATTATCAATAATATAGGCACTATTTTTAAAGATACAACAAAAATTGCACACATATCTATTTTTTCAATATCACAAGATAATTTTACCAGAATAGATAACATTCTAAACCATAAAGACTTTCAGTATAACTGAAAACACTTGGATCAGA